ACTAAATAGAAACGTGAGTTGTTTTTTTAACCGTTGGAGGCGAACGCTGCCATTTGCAGTCACCTTCAGCGCACCTCAAACTGCCCGCTCAGATCCCGACACACTCCAGCGACACACGGTGCACTTGTTACCCCAGATCGCTATCGGTGCTACTTGCCTGTGCGTCAGTCTTGTTATCGGGGCAGTTTGGTGACCCTCCCCCTCCTCCTCCTCCTCCGTCCCCCCCCCTGTGAAGTCACCCGGAGGGCCAGATCACAGCGAAGCCAACATGTGGTTTGAGTTAGCATCTCGGAGAGCAGCCCTCCATACGTGGGGCTGCGCTCGTATTCCCAGAGCTCGTTGGTCGGGCTCAGTTTATAATTGTGAGTGTGCTGGCGTAGAGCTGATTGTGTGTGTTTGTGTAAATGTGTGCCAGTTTGTGTGTGTCGTAGGTCTGGGAGAAGATGTTTTATGTGCTGTGTGCGTGGATCTGTCCTCACACAGGAAGTAAGGGTCAATTAAGGAGTCAGCACACTGAGTCTCTGGGGACTCAACTAGAAAGTAAACCAAAGAAGAACCTGCTGAACTTTGATTCTCTTCTTTGTTTCACTTCTTTTTTTTTTTGCATCTCTCACGCACGGACAACATATATCTGTTCATATATATTTAGACCAGTGCAGCAGGTTTTTTTTTTTTTTTTTTGTGCTTTAGTTTCGCCCTCTGTGGCCCGGCTTGTCCGACTGTGCAGGTGGAGGTTTTGGCTCTCATCTGACTTTATCTGCGCTGCATCTCAGGAAGCAGGAGGGAGAAACGAACCAGCTCGCTCGTTCCAGCTATTTTCTCCCCGTTTGATTATTTGATTAACTTCTCGCTGCGTCACAATGTCAGATTTTTTTTTTTCCACCTCTTTGTTCCAGGTTACTCGCTCACATAAAAGTCCCCACAAAAGGCCACTTGGATTTGTGACCGCTGCGATACACATCTTCCCTCCTGTAAAATGGTTTTCTGATTGAACAGAGCGATGCTTGTTTAATCTGAATCTGGAGCAGACTAAACATAACAGCACTCGAATGACTTTGATTGGTTACTGAAAGTGAGTAACAGTGCCGTCAGCGTGTGTGAAGAACGATGAACGTGATAAGGTCAATCAGCGGCGATAGCATCGGCGTTTGAAAGAAATAAAACCTTGAAAACACAACATGGGAGGATTAGTCAGCACTTATGAAAAATTAATCAGCTGTCAGCGTTCAGCAGCCACAACAAACAAGCTAGAGCCAGTCAGTGCAGGGCTTTTTGCTTTTTCTTTGTTCTCACCAAGGTTTTTAGTCCTTTCTGTTCATTTGTTGGTTTGTTTAGCGCATCATTACCGATGTTTTCATCACTCAAGGTGAGAAACTGATTTAAAAACTTAAGATGAGATTTTCTTTTAATAATCAAACTGTGGTGAAATCTGCAGTTACAAAGAAGATTGTTAAAAACACAGCAAACATCAGTAAAAATAAATAAATGAATCAACTAGGAATACACACAATACACACTCTATAATGTAAGTACTGTTAATAATGAACACATCTTTCTACGGAAAATCTAGATATTGCAACGATTCCTCTGAATATGAAAAATAATATAATTTCACTGCATTATTTTGTGTGTTAAGAAACATCGACTCTCCATACATTGTAAAACAACAGTTTTTACTTGTAATTTCTGAAGAATTGACTGTTATTTCACTTAGTTCTCTGTTTTATTAAATCACAGATAATATCTAGAACAATTACAGAAAGAAGGTATTAATTCATCTGTTTTCATAAATTTGTTCTTTTCCATCATTTGACTGTAAGTTGACACAGGGTTACTGCATTTAAATCAGCTAAAAATATACATATTTCACACATGTTGTCAATATTTGAAAAACAAAATATTATTTATAAGGATTGGAAATAGTTAAGAGTTTATAAAACCATATCTAGCAACATCACAGAAAAAAGTATTCATTTACTTATTGACTGTAAAAAAAAACCCAACGCAGGCCAAAAACTCACATTAAAATCCATATTAAATTGTATATCACTGTTCTACAATGTGTGGTCATAAAAACTACACTGTTTTATTCTGTTTAAATCAACTAAAACACAATTAGCTATTATATATTAGCCCTGTTTATCCACTCTTTACAGTTATTGAATGTTATTCTGCTGTCTTTCAGACATATTTTCTTTTGGCACCCTTGCTGTCAGAATTTGTTTTGTTTTTACAGATTTCATTTTATTTATTTATTTATTTTGCAGTGCAGGTTCATGATGTACTGATATTGCACAGATTCTGTTGATAATGTACAGAATCGTACCTCATTTGTTGGTCTTTTGAGTCTAATATCTGAGGTGATGCTGTTTGTACTTCCTGTATTTTCTGACTTTGTTTTGGGGAAATACAGGCTTTACTGTGTTTTTTGAGGCAGAGTAGTAAACTGAATTTTCAATGCAAGAAAAGCTCACCTGTTTTCCTTTGTGAGCCTTAAAAATCTTCTAAAATATTTGTGAGAAATAATGTGATAATAAGTCGGTAATAAACACACTGACTTTAAACCGCAAATACATTTACATTAGAAAACACTGAGCTCTAGTCTGATCTTCATCAAGCCTCGATGCTTTAAAAACATCATTATTACAAGGACAAATAAAGTCGTATTTTGAGATCCAACTTTGCCTCATTGGTAACTGGCCGTCCCACTGGGACCAATCTGTTTGTTGGTCCAGTGGTATATTTATCAACTGCCTGTGCTTCTCAGTGGCACTGATATCCTGAGGACGTGGAGTCTGAGGCATGAATACGGGCCTGGGTGGATGGATTATTTATTTGTCGGGGGTCAAAGGTGGCAGCATGGCAGTGCGAGCTGGCATCAGCTGATCTTCCCAGAGATGGAGAGACCTGAGTCTTTATATACCAGACCCCTGACATGTCTCATTATACATGTTTGATTTGGTGAACTTGAGGCACTGAGTGGGTGGTTTCAGTGCTCAGAACGCAGAAAGTCACCACAAAGCTTCTGGAAAGACTCAACACAGTCACTTTATTTCAGTCATGAGTGTTTAGGTCACAATTAGTCGATGTTATAGGTCTAGATTTTGCCTGCAGGGGATGTTTCCCCCTCAATGTTTAGAAAATGTGCATTTGCCCCCTCAAATAAAAAGGTGAAAGAAGTACAAAACCTTTTGGTCTCAAAAAGCTGTTTAACCCTATTCAGGACTTTAGGGGTCTTTTGGAGCCCAGGCCATTTGGTTTAAGTGACACGTATTGATTTTTTATTTTTTGAAGATTTGTTTTTAAAATATATGAAGAGAGACATTTGTCATGCATTTGGAACCAAAAATACGTCAACTTATCAGAAAATGTATTTAACATAGTATAAAAGTCTGTAATGAATACCAAGAAATATTTTACACGTATTCTTTCTTGGAGTCCAATGGACCCCGAAAGACCTTCTACGTATGGAAACATGAAAGTCCTGGATAGGGTTAACTAAACTATTTTCAACATTTGTGCCAAGCCCATGATGGAGTCTAAGAAACTTTTTCTATCAATCACCATAAAGACACATTCTTTAACCAGTCAAACATCAGTCAACAGGACATTGAGGGTCTCTCTCACTGCATAACAGACTACATACAGTTCTGTGAGGACACCATTGTCTTATCCAAAAAGGTTTGCTGCTAAGGCATGGATTAAAAAGGAGACTAAAAGCCGTCTTAACATCAAGAGGAGGGCCTTCATGTCCAAGGACAGTGAGGCGATCACTATTGTATCCTTTATGTGCCACTGTCTTGTGCTGTTGCAATGCCTGAATTTCCCCTATGGGGATCAATAAAGAATTATCTCATCTCATCTCATCTCATCTCATCTCATCTCATCTCATCTCATCTCATCTCATCTTATCTTATCTTATCTTAAACTAATAATGATCCCCATCAGCCTGAAGCTGCATTATATTTAGTGATAGCAAATGTTACTGCAATAAACTAAGATGGTGGACATACCTGCTATACATTAGCATGCTAACATGTTGCCATTTAACACATCATCACAGAGCCTATAACGCATTATCAGAGCCTTTTCCACACGAGAACCTTCCCCAGTAGCTTTTGGAGGAATCACAGGGACCAGGATCTAAATTAAGCGATTAAACGATTTTAACCCCAAACAAGTCCCTGCTCAGGTCTGCGTATTTTTCAAATGTGCAGGAGCTTTGAGGTTAGAGGGTTTACAGTACAGCACATTTCAGATGAGTCGAGTGCTTGCAGCAATTTTAGAAAAAATCTCTCTTTACATATACAGTTTGTTTTTTGTTCATTGTCCTCCTGGTAAATGAAACACACAAACAATGAGCCAACAATGAAGTGCAGACATTTTGAGGGAAACTATTTTCCACCGAATGTATTTGCTACATATCACAAACATGTGTCTGATTAACATATCATTGCCATTTATTGTATTCCTTCCAACTGTCAACAAGTCATCTCATTACCATGGTAACCCAGAAAATCAAGAAGCTTTGACGTTTGCTATTTTTGCCCAAACTGGGATCTTTAATTAACCATGCTGTTTTCTTCATCATCATAGTGTTACCAGACTGGGAGAAAATATGTTTCTCTCTAAAAGTAATTGAGATTACAGTTTAGTTTTACAGGAACGTCAAATGGCATCTAAAAAAAAAACACTCATCAGGACTAATTTGTTTCATCTTCAAATGTCTTTTAACCACAGTGTCCCTTAAAACAATTCCTGGGACCAAAAGTTGCAGGTACGTCAGGTATAAATGCATCTTTAGGTTTGAATGAAGCGGTAGACCCTCAAAGCTCTTTAACACTGTGTGAGTTTGGCTGTCTGAGTAAGTTGACAGTCATGAAATAGACATGTTCTTGTGTTCTAAATGCAGCTTAAGATGTGTTTGCAGTTAAATTTGTGGTTTACCTTTGTTCTTCCTCACACACACTGATTGTATTTATTACATTTTCCGACTGCAGTTGGAGAACTTCATTCAGAGGAGCATGAGGCGGGACGTCGCCAACATACAGTCACACGTCGTCCACAACCAGACGGCCACGATGCTGGAAATCGGGACGAATCTCCTCACGCACACAGCGGAGCAGACACGCAAACTGAACGTGGTGGAAGCCAAGGTAACAAACCTCCAGTGTGTTCAAACTGTCACTGAAAGACAAAAACCTGTCACTTGAAGGCAGATTTTCTGGGTTCATTGTCACCAGTATTGTTCCTACACATAGACTAGTCCTGTGCTTTATTGTTACTTTTCAACTGTGGAATATATGAATTTCTACGAATGGAAGAAATTGTACAATATCAATTTCACTGCAAACGTCCCTGTCGTGGTATTCCTGAAGGCCTATCTTATCTCATCTTTTCCTTCGTCCAGGTGCTGAATCACACGTCTCGGATAGAGATCCAGCTTCTGGAGAATTCTCTGTCCACCAACAAGCTGGAAAAAGAGCTGCTGCTGCAGACGTCTGAGATCAGTCAGCTCCGAGACAAAAACAGGTAGAAACTGGCTGCTTTTTCAGGCAGAATTTGCCATGCTGGAAAATTAGTCATTGAATCTGGTCCTTATTTATCAGAGTTCCAGGATTACTTTCAGTGGAAATAAGAGCTGCCTTGAGAGTGCTATGTTTTCTATGACTGAATAATAAAACTACAGAACCCCAGAAGGGACATGGAGAAAGAAAAAAACAGGGGGAGGGGAAAAAAATCGAGGTATCTTTTGTGAGATCTCGCAAAAAACTTTTGAGAGATCTTGCAAAAGTCAGATCATTGGATGTTTCTTAAAATAAATGTCTTTATATTTTAGACTGATTTTAAAACAAAACTCAATAAAACTCTTGAATGGGTAGTTGTCCTCCACTGTCGCTTCTCCATACTGCCAAAAAGGCCCAGAAGTATATATATCTTCTTCTTCTTCTTCTTCTTCTTCTTCTTCTTCTTCTTATTGATTTAGTGGTTGGCATCCAACGGTCAGGTGCATCACTACCACCTACCAGACTGGAGTTACCTATAGTTTTGCGAGATCTTGCAAAAGCTATTGCGAGATCCCAAGAAAGTTTTATGAGATCTCACAAAAGATACCTCCATTTTTTTTTTATTCCCCTCCTTGTTTTTTGTTTTTCTTTTTCTCCATGTCCCTTCCAAGGTTCCATATAAAATACACTTATCAATAGATTCCTAATTACAGTGAAGTACAAGAGTAACCTTTAAAAGTTGCTCACAATGGATCACATGATCAATAACGGAAACTCCAGTTAGGTTCTCCGGCTTCCTCCCACAAGTCCAAAAACATG